AGTCTTCAAGCAAAGAGGAAGATGGGGGCTGGCAAGACGGCTCAGAGGGTAAGAGTGCTTGCCACCAAGCCTGATGATCTGAGTTCAATCTCCAGAACCCAGATGGTGGAAGGAGAGAACTGACTCCTGAAAGTTTCCTCTGACATCCACACACAGGCCATGCGTCCCTTCTGGGTGGGTGAAATGAAATGAGCAAGCAGGGCCAGACCACTGGGGCTGTTGGATGGTGTCCATTGGGTACTATGATTTTCCCGTTTCATAGACCAGAAGACTGAGGTCAACGCTGTGAGGGGAAAGAGGCACAGACTGCACCAGCTTTGCCTGCCAGTGGAGATCCTCAATTTTACTAATGAGTTTAGCTGCATCCACGCATAGCTGTTCTCGGATCAGTCTCTGTGCCTTGGTTTCTTTATCTGTTAAATGGGAGTGATGTCTGCTGCCTTCCAGGGATGTTGAAAATGAAAAGAACGGCCCCTGATGCTGTGGTAAGCTCCAACCTGGCCTGGGTCTTGCTGTACAGAGTGAGCGCTTAGCACACACGGCCTGCTGCCAGCTCTGAACCTGCACTTCAGTGAGGACGTGTGAGGGTCCTAACTGTAGAACTAGAGACTCCCAGGGTCGGAAGCCTAGCTCTGCAGCCATCAATGTCCACTGTACCATCTAGCCTGCGTCAGGACGTATCCAGTGATGGAACTTGATGCTTCTCCTCACAACCCCTTCTGCGTACTCTCTGTGGCCTTTGCCATGAAGTCCAACTCCTTTTTGATGGTCCATGATCCTTCGGGGTCTAGGTCCTGCCGACTTCTGACCTTGTCTGGACCTCATCCTCACTGGCTTCTTCTCATCATCTCCACAGCCTTCTCTCTCCACAAGCGCATCTGTCCTCCTTTGTACCCAGGTCGTTGTTCATGCCAGGCCTTCCATGTGACATCCCTTCTGTTCCTTCAGCTCACTCCACCTGCTTTTTCCGTTCTGGGTCACCTGACACCTTTTCGGGGAGCATTGTTGTTCTTTAACCTTCCAGCCCTGGCAAGAGGACCCTGGGCCTGTCCTGTGTGGTGCTTGACATTCTTGAGATTGCTTCTTTCTTGAAGACTTAGCTGTCCTGCTTGACTCTGATTCTCACTTGGGCAGAGAGCTGTCTGATGGATCCCTCTGTCTTTACCATCTAATACCAGTGATGAAGGTCGGCATGGTGACGCACGCCTTTAATCCCAGCACTCGGGAGGCAGAGACAGGTGGATCTCTGTGAGACTGAGGTCAGTGTGGTCTACATATCAAGTTCCAGGACAGCTGGGGCTACAGGGAGACCCTGTCTCAAAAATAATCAGTGATGATGCATCAAACAAAATACCAGTAACACCAGTGATGGAGCAATGGTGCACCCAATACACATTTGCTGGCTTGAGACCTACTGGAAGCCTCTCTGCTTGACAACTCTCTCTCTCTCTCTCTCTCTCTCTCTCTCTCTCTCTCTCTCTGTTTTCTGAGACAGGGTATCATTACATAGGCCTGGCTGACCTGGAACTCATTATACAGACCAGGCTGGCCTAGAACTCTTAGATATCTGCCTGCCTCTTCCTCCTGAGTGCTAAAATTAAGATTCTCTCTTTTTAAATATTCATTTTAATTGTGTGTATGCATGTGTGTGTGTGTGTGTGTGTGTGTGTGTGTGTGTGTGTGTGTGTATGCTGGAGTCCAGAGGCATCAGATCCCCTGGAGCTGGAGTCACAGACGGGGGCAATACACACTATCAGCTGCTGAGCCATTGCTCCAGCCCTGACAATTCCCTTATCAGCCATCTCCATCCCTACTGTACACACAAGGACACAGATGACAGTGGTAGATTCCAGTATGTGAGGTCATAACTGTCATTCTCAAATCACTGATAGGGTCACAGGTCTAGAGAGGCTGAATGTGTCCAATGAGAGACAGGAACGTAATAAAGCCTGGGTGGGGTCTACATCCAAACATGGGGCACAGGCAGATGCCATGATGGACACCAATCTGTCTCCACCAACTGTCCCAGGGCTCACTGGACCAATGGCCATCTTTCCAGCCAATCAAACTGACATCCTCTGGGGCAAGGTTTTCCCTGTGATACTGTCACTGTTACCTCTTTGCTGTGTCTCTCATTTCCCAGGTGTGGTTTCCTGTTTGAGGGTCTTTTGGACGCAATTTGAAAACTCAAGAGGGGTGGGGGTCAGAGGTGGACTTCACACAAGAGGCCCATGAAAGGAACAGAAGGACCCAATGGCCCAGCATAGCTTATCAGCATCCTCTGATCCAACTTCAGAATTCCATTCCTTCCCTAGAGTGCCCCAAGCTCAGCTTAGCCGCTCTCAAGTTCAAGTTGAATTTAATAGCCTCCCTTCCCCTTTGCATTGAGCTATTGATCTTCATTTTGCAGACCGACTTCAGCAGTGAACCACTGTATCTCGGAAGGCTTATCAGGAGCTCATTTTGGCTTAAAGCTTTCATTAGCACAGTTAACGTCCAATACGTTGCACAAATATTTCTTCACATGTAGCCTCTCACTGGTTTGCCATCCAGATGGCTTTAAAATCAAGGAAGCTGCTGTATTTGCCTCGAGCTGGTTGTTTTGAATTTCAAGATTGCGGCCTCCGTCAGAAGAGAAGTGAAACAGCTGGCCGGGATGATTTGCCTGCCACTTGCCAAGTACAAAATGAAGCTTCTGTTGATAATTTTCTTTGTTTTAAAAAATTAACACAATCACCGACTTCTATTCCCGTTGGATCCTTGGAGAAGTATATTTAAGTTAATTTTCTTACCTAGTGGTGGTGTGTGTGTGTGTGTGTGTGTGTGTGTGTGTGTGTACGTGTATTTGTGTAGGCACAGTGTTCATGTGGAAGCCAGAGGTTGATGGCAATCTTCCTCCATCACTCTCCACCTTAGGATCTCTCACTGAACCCAGGAGTTCACCAATTTGGAAAACTGGCTGATTAACGAACTTCAAGCTCTTCCTGTCTCCACCTCCCCAATGCTGGGGTTACAGATTCCTGCCACTGCTGCACCCAGCTTTTATGCCAGGGCCAAGGATCAGATGCCAAGTCCTCATGCTTACATGGCAAGTGCTTTATCCACTGAGCCACCTCCCTAGCCCTTTCCTCCCCATTTGATACTTGGTTTTGAAATAAAGGTTACCATCAAAACCAGTTTATTATGGGATAGCCTACAACCCCTCCCCAGTAGTCTATATCTGAATGGGAACTGGCATCACAAAGCAGACAGCTAGACGTAAAAGCGAGACCTAAATTAGAGCCCCTATGCACAGAATAGGAAGGGTATGAAAAAACCACATGAATCTGAGGTTTCTCATCCCCACCCCCTCAAGGCATATATTGTTGAATAAGATTTTTTCTTTTAAAGCCAGAAATTGCTGTGGAGGAACTGGGGCTAACAGCCAGAGGGCCGGCCTGAGACACATCTGGCATCATGGGTAACTGCATGTACCACAGCCTCCCGTCTGTCATCTTCCAACGAGGGCATTTTCAAACACAGACCAAGAGGGAACAAATGGGAAAAACCAACGTCCCAATCTGAAACCACCTGGGCTGCGTCGTTTTCCTCAGGCCCCCACTGTGCCCTTGATTTCCTGATTGCGCAGAGCAAGAATAACAAAATCCATCCAACCCAGTAATTTGGACAAAGATTCCTGTGAAAACCTACCCAATGGAGTTGATCTAGCCAGACCAGTACTTCTCAACTGGGGGCAATTACCCCTTCCCCCAGGAGACACCTGCCAAGATCTGGAGATACTTTTGGGATCTCATGACTGGGAGGGGCAGTGCCATGGGCACCGGGCAGGTAGAACTCAACAACAAGGGCTGCTCAGGAGCCACCACGCACAGGAAAGGCCCTCCCCCAACAAAGAAACTTGCTCCCTGTGTCAACAGTGCTGAGGCTGTAAAACCTTGGGTGTGTGGATGCACGTGTGTGTGCTTGTGCAATCCAAGCTTCCTTGGCAGAGTGGTTGGTGTGCGATTCCATCCGAAGTTTTCAGAACCTGGAGATGAAGTTGAGGCACGCTTCAGCTCAGGTACCTAAGTTATGTAAGTAATTGAAGGATTAACAACTGAGTTTTGTTCCCTTTCGGTAATCCAGGAGACCTCACCATCTGGTGGTACCACCAATGGTGGAAAGGATTTTGATCAAAGCTGTGGAACATGGTGCCTGGTGTCGGCTTAGCACTGGGAGCTGAGAAGCAGAGCCCTCAGGGTCTGACCCAAAGACTCCCAGCTCATCACCCCACTTGGAGATATTAGTTTCTCTCCTATGGAGTTTGACTTGCTGTGGTGAAAGGTCACAAGGAACAAGGCAGCAGGACTCACCTCCAGCAAGCCTCAGTGCTACACTTCAGTGCTTTTATTGGCATGGCGAGAAGGTTGGGGCCTGCCAAAGATAACAGTCCCACACTGCGGCTGGGACTGTAGGTTTCTGGGGTAATGTGTCCCTGCTCTGGTCTGCCCAGTCCCCTGAGCTTAGGGAGAGTCAGAGGTGTGGAGAAGATGCAGTTTCCGCCACAACACCCAGCATCAGCTTCTCCGTCATACTCCTCCCGTGCTTACGCATCAGCCAGTCAGCAGGTCTGTCCGGGCTTGTTTTGGCTAAGATGGGACTCTGTCTTGAGGGCTAACTGTGAGACCTCTGATTTCCACTCAGGCAGGGAAAACAGGTCTTGATGGATGTATCTTGGATGCATGCATCTACAACTCCTCAAACCACAAGCATGCTCCACCCTTGACTTCCCTTCAGCCTCCTTCATCTTTTTCTCAAAATATCTTGTGCAGCAATTTGGGGCTTAGAGGGAAAGGCTGTGTGGAAGAGCTATGGTGCCCAGAACTACTTGTGAAATGAGTTGAGATGCCCAGGACCATGTCCTCTTGTGGGTCCTCAGAACCTAGGACACCCATTTGCTGTGCCCTGGAGAGGTGATGCATACCAGGCAGTGCAGGGTGGCAAGCTAAGGGCTCTCCGACCTGCCCTCTGCACCTCACAGTAATCCTGGCCAGAGGGTGGGGTTTGCAAGCTCAGCTCACAGATGAGAAGGCTGAGGTTCAGAGCTGAAGGATAGGCACACAGACAGAGGAGTAAGCCACAGGCTCTGACTGGGGCCAGAATTCTTAACCTTGCACCACAGGAGGGTGATTGGGGGTGAGCCTTGTGTTGAACACACTTCAGTGCCTATGGTTGGTATCCTCAATTTTGCCAGTGGCACCTGGGCCCCCACAATGCATAGGGCAACTAACCACAGTTAGTTGGTTATCTGTAGAGCTCTTCCCCTAAGTCATCAGGAGGGCATGAGCCCTATAGCGTAAGTCCTAGAGAAGGTGTTGCCTCTTTAACAGGGTCCCTGAAGTCCCCTGAGTCCCCCACTACCAGGCCTGCTGGGTACCAACCTGTGCCAGGAAAAATCCATGGTTCTCTTCCAACCATGCCTCAGGATACAGTCTTATGCTCCCACGGGTTCAGTGGGCAAGATCCACCAACATCCTGGTCTAGAGACCTGGGGCTTGTCCCTTGCCCAAGGGACTTGGTGGGCTTGGGATACTCCCGCATCCTCCTGGAGCCGGGACATAAAAGGTTGCTCGGGATACCCAGAGGCTGGGCTCTAAGGGCACGAAGCCTGAAACGCTCCACACACTGCCCAGTGGTCCGGTTCCTCCAGCTGAGCCTAGAAAGATCTTGAATATGCCACAGGTGCTGACCATGAGAGCCTGGAAAAAGGATTCACAAGGCCCAGTACCTAGTATCACCAGCCAGGTCCTCAGGCCCAGTGAGTCCCCAAGGGCCCTCGGAACGCGAGACAGAGAGTTTCCTACTTCAGGTGGCAAGCTGACTGGGGAGAGATAGCACCTACCTCCCAAGAGTACCAGGACGCACGCGTAGGGGAGCAAGGCCACTGGCATCCCGTTCGGGCTAGCAGGGCCGCTGGGCGCCAACGGGATGTGCAGGGCGGCACGGGCCTTGGAGATGCGGGTGGGCTGGGTGCTGTGCCCCTCGGCGCTCAGCCTCGCTCGGGCTGGCAGGATGGAGATGGTGGAGAGCCGAGCCGCGCACTCAGATGTCCAACTTGCCAGAAGAGGTGGAGACTGTCTTGGTGCCGCGCACAGGGCCAGGGCGCGGCAGCGGCTGCCACTCACACCCCCAGACGAGCCTTCCTGCGCCCCGGGTCCTTGCGTCCTCGAGAATGCTTCCAAGGGGCAAGGAGGCCTCTCCACACGCTCTCCAAGCCAGAGCTGTGCGCTCCTCGCACCCGAGCGCACTCCTGGCCAGGCGGTTCCCAGGACGGTCAAGGGCCTGGGGGTGCAAAAAGTTCTTAGCCGCTCTGGTTCCTGGGTCCCTGAAGTTTCTTTTCAGGCCTTCCAGATAACCCTCGGAAAAGTCGCATCGACGCAGAGCCCAAGAAAACCCAGGAGCGAGTGAAAGTGGCCAAGGCGGGACCCAGCAGCCGGTACTGCTCTCTGTAATTAGCAAGCCCGGAGCCGGCTGGGATGACTGGGACGGGTTTCCTCCCCCACCCCAACTCCTCCTCCTGCCACCACCCCATAGGGCTCCTGGGAGTGAGTCAGTTTAGGGTGGCAGCTCGGAGGCAAAGCAGCTGTGGGAACAGACAGAATGCCCCCAACTGGTCCCCTTGACGCCCCAGGCAGGCAGGCAGGCTTTGATAAAGGTATGCGATCACCTGGGAAGGAGACCGGTAGACCGGTGCAAGTTACGATTTTATGAAGGGAAGGAAGAGAATCACGTGGTTGAGAAAGTATCCTGACCGCTTCTATCCACATGGAACACCCGGGCAACTCAGAACTGGGAGTGGGTGCCAGGGCTGGAGGTGCGGATCCCAAGGACCAGCTCCTTGTGTTGCCATGAGCTGGGAGGACAGAAAGGATGTAGAAAGGGGGTGGGGTGGGGGGTGCCCGGGGAAGGAATGGACGGGACAGAGGAAGAAAGAGATGAGGGATAGGGAGAGGGGGTGAAGGAGAAGGGGGGCGGGAAGGGCTGTCCCTCTGAGGAAGAGTTAAGGCAGATCTGAGCAGTTAGCTTGCACTTCCAGAGGTTTTATAGGGTGACCTGTCCCAGTTCTGTGGGCAGAGCATCCCAGAGGAGACCCACGGCACCACCCCTCTTTTAAAGTTTAAAAAATTTTTATTTATTATGTTTATTTTATGTGTGTGTCTTGCCTGCATGTAGGTAAGTGTCATGCAGTGCCCGAGGAGGACAGAAGAGGCTGTGGGTGCTGGGATTCGAACGTGGGTCTTCTATCAAGAACAGTCAGTGTTCTTAACCGCTGAGCCATCTCTCCAGCCCCAACCACCTCTCTGTTAAACTTCTTACAGAAACTGAGGTGAGGCACTCAGGAACCGCAAGAACCCTCATCTTCACCCCCAGATCCCCAAGTCCAGGACTCCTTGAGGTTGTAATTTTCTTCTTCTGCAGCGGCAACAGAGATAAGCAAAAGTGCCCAGTGGGGCTGTGATGTGAGGGCAGCGAAGCGATCAATCTCCCTCTAAAGGTGCCATTTTTTCTGGTGTCTGTGGTTACTGAGCACAGCGTGAGGCTTGAGGTGGGCTTGCTGAAGCCCAGATCCGTGCAAGCTGTGCCTGTCACAGGAAGTTTGCGGGTGGGGGTTGGCTCTCAGGCCAGAGGAGAGCTGTGCATGGTGATTATTTATAATTGCATAATTGTGATGATTTGTGGCAATTATGTGTCCATAAATTTGCAAAATTTACCATTACAGATAAGGATGACTCGCTCTTCTGCCCAGCACCATCGGTGACTGCCCTCTTTTTGCCTTCTGAATTCAGGCATTTCCGAGCCCCACATGTGGACAGGGATTCAAATATTAGTGCTTTTTTGTGGGAAAAGGGTTGTTACGTGGGTGTCTCAGGGTGGAGTCATAATTCGGTGCTTTCAGAACATACTGCGCTGCTGTTCAGAGTAGAAGCTCTCCCGCAGAGGATGGCGGGCGTGATAGTTGTACTGGCTGATTTCTCAGTGAGAACTGTTGATTACTGAGAACACTGGGTGGCCACCTGTTGTGTTCCTTACATCCCGTCGTCCTTGTTAGCTCTGTATTACAGCCATTTCTCCAGCCCCAGCACAGGAAAAATGAGTTCTGAGTTTGGACTAGTGTCTCCAGCCCACACAGCTGGGTGGCAGGAGATTGAGGGAGCAGTAGTCAGGACAGCGGGGGTGGCTGGAAAGGGCAAAGGGGCTCAGGAGGAAGAAACACAGGGAGGGTGAGCTAGCTGGAGCTTAGCTGTTCAGAGACAATGCAACCCTCACTACGGAACAGTAGAAAAGTAAGCCCGAGAGAGCCAGTGAGACGGCTCAGTGGTAGATAGGTGCTCGCTTTGCAGGCCTGGGGCCTGGAGGTTGCGTCCCTTGGGACCTGTAAGAGGTAAGAGGAGGGAACTGACTGCAGAAAGTTGTCTTCTGACCTCTGACCATCACACACGCATGATGACGTCCCCACCCCAACAGTTAAAGAAAGAAGATAGTTAATGTGTCACATGACTTCTGGGGAGACTGCTGCAGACAGAGCATGCACCAGTAGGCCCTAGAAAGAATTCCATCTAAGTGCAGTTTGGGGAGCCCATGAGTTTAGGGGAGTTACTTACAGGGGCATGAGCAACTCACAGGCAGCTCTACCAACCAAGTCTTTGGACGGCTTACTTGTAGCTACAGCACCGAAGAGTCCCACCCACAGTATGGACAGCTCATAAAGCTGTACCATCAAGAGTCTCCGGGTGACCTACAGGCGACTGTGCTACCTAAGAATCCCCCTCAGCCAGTCAATTCTTTATGTAACCTCCAGGAGGGGCTTGCAAGAATCTTCCCCCATCCCTAGGAGGGAGTGTCAACAGGCCCCTTTCCTGAGGGTTTCCTGTAGTTATTCACTGCTGCTCTGATTCAAGATGGTGATGGTCACTTCCACCAGAGGACACAGCCACACCACACAGTATTTGGAGAAGACTCTCCTGAGTTATGAGGAAATCAAATCAGAGAATGAAGTGAAGCTAAGACTCACCTGTGGCTTCAAATGTGACTTTTAAAAGAATGACAACAGGCTGGAGAGATGGATCAGTGGTTCATAGCACTGACTGCTCTTGCAGAGGACCGAGGTTCAATTCCCAGCACCCGCATGGCAGCTAACAACCATCCATAACTCCAGTTCCAGGGGATCCAATACCTTCTTCTGACCTCTACGGACATTGCACGACACTGGTGGACTTCCATACATGCAGGCAATACGCTCATACACATAAAATAAAAATAATAAGTAACACATTAAAAACGAACAAGAGAGAGAAGAAGAAAGGGAAGGAGGAAGGAAAGAGGTGGAGGGGGAGGAAAGAAAAAGGAAGGAAGGAGAGGAGGGGAGAGGAGAGGAGAAGGAAAAAGTTGCATGCCTCTGCTAGAGGAAGAGTGCCCCACTTGCTCCTGACCGCTCTCTTAGCTGTAGGATAATCACTCGGGAAGGTTTAAAGTGGGTCTTATAAGACATTATCTGAGTCCTGCCCTGTGGTGGTGAGCGGCCTCCCAGGGCTCAACTGCATCTGGGCAGTGAGAGCTCTGCTTTCTGGACTCCCCAGGGGTCAGAGCTTCTTGGGGCTTGGGGTAGACACAGGGGGTTCTAGCTGTGGGCAGACAGTGGTATGAGTGGGTTGGCAATGAGTCAGATGTCTCAAGGGGGGTGAGGACACCAGACTTCCTTCTCCACCTGTGCTTTCCACCCTCCTCTCATACCAAAGTCTAGGGCTGGTGGATGGGAAGTCAGTGCAGGAGCAACGCCTCGTTCTTCTCTTCCCTTGGGAAGGTTGGATCTCCTGAAATCTTGCTATGAAACGGTCTGTTTCCTCTGCTTGTTATCAAGGATGTCTGATCAAAGAAATGGTGCCGAGCTTGGTTATCCAATAACCAAGTACACATCCAGGGCAACCTCCTGGGCTGCTCTGGCTGAAGTGAGATCCAGGCCAGTGCGGACTCCAGCCTTCTGAGACCCTGAAACTCCATGGAGAGGAGGTGAAGGTTGCATGGCTGGTGTGCAATGAAGCCTAGCTGGGAACGGTCCAGAGCTTGGAAGTCTGGCTCCTCAGCCTGCCCCCAAACTTCTAGATCCTGAGTGGCTTCTGGTCCACCTGATTCTTGGGAGTTGGGGTGTGGAAACCGCTTGGGCTGCTGGGGACTTCCCTAGCCAGCTCTTGTACTGATCTCAGTCTTTTGTCTTCTTGCTCTGTCTAGTTATTGTGTATATGGTGGTGGGAAGGTGGTCACACTGGAGGGTCTATTTAGTGGAGGTGCTTGAACGAAAGGATGGATTACTGGGTGGAGCAATGGCAGAATGGATGGATGGATGGTCTGGGGCTTAGATGGTGAGTGGATGGATGGGTAGGTGAGTAGATAAATAGATTGGGGCTTGGATAAGTAGATGGATGGATGGCTGAATGGATGGATGGGTGGGTGGATGGACGGACAGGTGAGTGAATGGGTGGGTAGATGGATGAATAGATGAGTAGATACATGGATTGGGGCTTAGATGGATGAGTAGATCATTGGATAGTTAGACAGTTGAGTGGATGGATGGGCAGATGAGTAGGTGGATGGGAGGGTGGATAGGTGAGTGGATGGATGGGGATGAATGGATAGATGAGTGGATGAATGGGAGGATGGATGAGTAGATGGAGGATGGATGGACAGGTGAGTGGCTGGATGGTAGAGAAGCGGATGGATGAGAGGACGGATAGGTGAGTGGATGGAGGGCTAGATGGTGGATGAATGGACTGGGATTTAGATGCGGGGGGGGGTGGTGGACAGACGAGTGGTGAGTGGCCGGGCACCACTAAGTTATTAGTAATAACCCATTAATGAACTCAAAGGTTCATTAACTTAACCTTGGATTGCCAGCCCCCAAACTGTGGAGGTACATCCCAGTCCTGGTCCTCAAGGGGCACCTTTCCACAAAGGCAGGCCACGTGTCCCTCATAGGAGTAGCCACAGGGCCAGGAAAGTGGCTGGATATCCCCATAGAATTGGGACTCCTGACCCTTCCGGACCTTGGATGCTACTTCACTTCGACCTCAGTGTGGGCCAGGCCCCATATTCTCACACCTGCACAAGCTTACAGGGTGGTCACTCCAGGCAGAGTCTACCTGCCCACCCTCTTTCCCATCTACCAGCTGGTGCCAAGAAAGGACAAACCTATTGAGATAGATTCTTTTGCTTTATAGGAGGGAGAGAAAAAAATAAAAGCCAAGTCAGTTAGTGTCACTTCATACAGCCAGTTATAAAGTGTACTGTTATCCTCCCATGTGAAAATCAATACGCGTTCCTAATACAGTGTCTTAAAGGCACAAGGTTTATTATTTCTCTCCCATTATGAAATTAACAGTGCTCCCAATATCCTGTTTGGAAAATACAGAGAAAGTAGAATGAAGAAAGAAAATGAAGTCATATATACTTCTAGCCAGAGACAACCTGTGACCCTGGACATGTCAGATTCGTCTCTACTATTGTCTGCCCTGCCTCTCCCTAACCCTTTCTAACTGTAGCTACAGCCGTGTAGTCTCCATCATCTCTATATATCTTTAAGCTGTGGTCAAATCCAATGCCAAAATAAACCACCAAATTCCCATCTCCATCTTTTGGGTTACTTTCCAAGCCTTTAAGGGACTGTTGGGGCAAGGCTGTGGGTAGGAGGGAGATGTGGGACAAATAAGATCCTTAAAACTTTCTTCTACGTTTATTTATTTTGTGACTATATGTCTACGGGTGTGTGCATGCCATAGTGTGCCTGGGATGGACCAAGGACAACTTGTGGGAGTTGGTTCTCTATATCATGTGGGTCTGGGGCACTGAACTTGGGTGGTCAGGCTTGGTGACAAGCACTTTGACCTTCTGAGCGATCTCAGTGGATGGAGATCAGGGCTGTACATGTGCTGGGCAAGTACTCTGTCACTGAGCTGCACCTGCAGTTCTCTTTTTCTTAATTTGAGACAGGGTCTCCCTAAGTTATCCAAGCTGACCTTGAACTCACCTGTAGCCCAGGTAGCACTTCAACTTTAGATCCTCCTCCGTCAGCCTTCTGAGTAGCTGGGGTGACAGACCCATGCTACCAGGTCTGGGAAATTATGTTCTTTCTTTGGCCGTAATACTTTGAATGTTGGTTACCATTCTGTCTAGACCACAGCGTGGAGGGCAGGACCCATATTCTCTGTTAACTGCTGTTAATTTTGCTTTAATCTTGTTAGCTAGCTGCTTGAAAATTTCCTTCTGTTTAGGATTTGGGTCTTGGAGCAGAGCTTAGAGGTGCTGGTGTCTGGGAGGGGGTCAACAAACCACCAGCTTATGAGGTGTGGAGGGTACCCTGACAGAGGCAAGCTGAGTTCAGGGAGGAAGTGGTGCTGTTTCCTTTCCATTGGGTTGTCTGGTGTGGGGGTGTTGGGTATGGGAGAAGCAGAATTTGGGGGACAAAATGGAGGGAATCTTCCAAGAACCCCTAGCATAACCCAGGTAGAAGCACTCACTCCTCCACCTCCTTCCTTTTCTCCAGTTACAATTAACATTCAGGGTTTAGTTTCTGCCCCTCCTCTTGAAATGGAATTTTTATCTCTTGATTCATGCTACAAGATAAAATCCCTGTTTATCCAGTTGCATGAATAATTGATAAGCTCTTTCCAACTCGCCAGAAGCAACTTAGCAGTCTCGCCTTGCGGCCTGGAACCCCTAGCAATTTCCGGAGCACCAGCGAGGGCCCTGCACCGTTTCTGCTTGGAGCTCACTGCTTTCCATATCTGAGGTGCAGCTTATCTCTTGATCCAGATGCGTGAGCTATAGATCAGACATCCAGTGTTGCAGCACCAGGGAGCCGGGGGCTGTCAGTGTCCACCTCGGCTTTCTGAAGGCTGGTCTGTGACAGGTGTGAACCTGGGTTCCATTGGGAGCCTCCCCAGCTGGCGTCTGCAGAGTTCAGAGCCTTAATTAACTCTAATCTGTTCCCTGATAGTTTCAACCAGGTCCAAGATGTGAAGGTATTTTCTTTCCTACATAGTTAATGGGCTTAATGAGATAACAATGGGAAACCATGTTCAGCACCATCATGCATTTGGGCTCTGTGGCCAGGTTTATGTGATAAAAGCCAATGGGGTGTTATTTCTGTGCTGAGCTGGAGCTTAACCTTTTAAAACAGGTCTGGACAGCTACCTGTTATATTTGACTCTTCCTTTAAAAAAAAATGATTTATATTCTGCACTGCAGAAGATCTTATTTCTTCAAGGACGAGTACAGTGCAGCAGAAAGTACAAGCCAGAGGGCAAAATGCCTGCAGGAAAAAAGGTTAACAAGATATTGTTCCTCCTGTCCCTGCTCACAACTCCTGGGTGACAAACACTTGGCTTTGATGTGGCTGAGATTTGCTTGTGCCTTATAGCTGGCACAGGCTCTCCTTGAGACTTGTTGGAAGCTTCTAGCTCTGGGGCTCTAGGGAGCTATGCAGTTGCATCTCGCCACAGGGGACACAGGGCCTTGATTGAAGCCACTGGCGTTTGTCACCCGCAGGCATTTGTTCTGTGTTCTCTCTCATTAGGGGAACGTAGGGAGAAATGAATTGGAGGTTGAGTTTTTTGGGGACCTGCTCTGTTTTCCCAGTGCTCCAGGAAATTAAGAAACATGCCATTAGTTTTAGCAAACAATTTAAACAAACTAAAAGATCTGCCCACACCTCCGAGGGTGGAGGATCTGGAGGGAGATCCGGGTTTTGTGGTCCTGGCACTCCCTCTAGACACAGGAGCCAGAGGAGGTGCAGAGAACTGTGGTGATATGGATGGTACTTCACACAGCTCAGATGCTTGGATCATGATGGCCCCAGTGAAAGGGAGACTGAAAGGGTCCTGGGGAGAAGCTGGTGGGTGTCTTTCTGTGTGCTTTGACAGACCTATGTGCTAGACCCCTCACACCAGCAGGCATTTCTTTGGAGGCTGGTCCCAAGGAGGCTCTCGGTAGCTCACTCCTGCATCCTGCCTCAATGCACAAGGTCCTGTTGGGACCACAGGGCAGTGTGGTTTATGGTAGATTCTTCTTGTGCTCTGTATTCAGAATATGCTGGTAGGAAGGGGCAAAGAAACGGTGCCTGCCACTCTGTCCCCAGCTCGGATGGGAGAGGAGCCACCCTGCCATCACGGGCCTCTGCCAGTAGGGTGGCATGCCATCCATGGTGTTCCTGTGTTAAATTTGCATGTCTGCCAGACTGTGCCACCTGTCTTGGGTGATTACTTGGAATGAATGGGACAAGGTGGCAGCACATGGAGTTCTGGATGAGGCACGGTGGTGGGACACTAGGTGGCCTCAGCCAAACCACATGCACCAGTGGCATCTTGGCCAGCCAGCCTCTCCCGGCCTCTGGACTCAATATTCATCCACCAAACAGTCAAAACGTGCTGGAGGGAGAGGAAAGGGGACGGGCCTTGGCGTGAGGTCTCCTGAGGGCAGCCTTTGCTCTTTTCTGTTCTTTGATTACCGCAAAGCTACATTTCCATTCCAGGGATCTAAAGAACATAAAACACTGACGTGCTTTGCTGTTCATCAACAAACATCTACAGACACAATCCGAGGTGAGAGCAGGACAGACAGTGCAGACAGGCTTTTCTCCCAGCGCAGTGAGCACTGAGGAGGGATGTTGAGTACCACAGTCTTCATCTGTCCTCAGTCCCGGACTCTTAGGAGGTGTGCAGACCTACAGGATGGAGGCTGGGGAAGGAGGCTGAAAGGCACACATGCTCCAGAAAGGGGACGGGGTGGGGGAACTCTGCTAGAAGGGTCCATGAGACTCCTTCCAGCCCTGGAGGCCCAGTGCCAGGGTGGTGTTTTCTGCTGGGACAGCTGAGGTGACCTCAGATGCTCTGTGGACAGGGCAGGAAGTACCCCATCTGTCTCTCAGTGGTACTGCAGAAGAGACAGTACCAGCTGGGTACTGGTGTTTGTTATTATTATTACTTAAAAAAATTTTTTAGAAGAAGCATTTCATTACAGCTTTAACACACTCAATAACAAAGATACATCTCTTTCAAAAGTGGCTATAAAATTTTTAGGTTCGCCGTTGAATTAATACAGTTATACAATATTGAACTCGGTATAAGCCCTGTAAGACATAAAATTGAATGATTTTT